TCCACTCCCCTCAATATGGTCTGATGATAGCTCTAAACACCCAGCTTCCCGATTCATCTCAACATCGCTAAACTCTGTGTAATTAAAATCAGCCGGTGGCTAAATGCATGATCTTGATCTATCGATGCGACTTGGGTGGGGACGATGGACGCAAACAGATTTCCATCATTGTAAATGGATCAGACACACAAAGACATTTCTTGTAAGCCAGCCCAACCACATCACAAACACTCAATTACATTTTTGTCATTTAGCAGACGCTCTTATCCAGAGCGACTTACAGTTAGTGAGTGCATAAATTTTTTTTTTCTCATACTGGTCCTCCGTGGGAAACGAACCCACAACCCTGACGTTGCAAACACCATGCTCTACCAACTGAGCTACACGGGACTCAATCATTACATTTCCATTTTCCAGTTTGTTTACATTTGATTAAACTTTCATGTTACCTCATCAAGGATGGTGTGGCGGAAACTAAGATGCAGATGTCTAGATGAGGCTTTGGGAGCCGCTGGGAGTCAACGCCTGTGGATATATCATATCGCATCCCCTGGCTTCCGTCAAAGTGTTAAAATCCTCCCAAAATTTGGCAGATAGAATGCCATCAGGTAGCCAAGACAACACCCAACAATATTAGACTATAATACAGCAGTAATGAAATAGTCTGTAAAATATCTGGCTCGGCTAAATCAAATCAAATGACGTTGTTTTTCACCTTGTGGTGTTGGTACCTCTTCCATACAGGTCTTCCCTTTGTGGGAGTATAAAAACATACAGTACCAGTCAAAGGTTTGGACACACCTACTCATTCAAGGGTTTTTCTTTTTTTTCTTCAAATTTTTACATTGTAGAATAAAAGTGAAGACATCAAAACTATGAAATAACACATATGGAATCATGTAGTAACCAGACAAGTGTTAAACAAATCAAAATATATTTTATATTTGAGATTCTTCAAATAGCCACCCTTTGCCTTGATGACAGCTTTGCAACCTCTTGGCATTCTCTCATCCAGTCATGAGGTAGTCATCTGGAATGCATTTCAATTAACAGGTGTTCCTTCTTAAAAGTTAATTTGTGGAATTTCTTTCCTTCTTAATGCATTTGAGCCAATCAGTTGTGTTGTGACAGGTCCCCTGTAGCTCAGTTGGTAGAGCATGGCGCTTGCAACACCAGGTTTATGGGTTCGTTTCCCACGGGGGGCCAGTATGAAAATGTATGCACTCACTGACTGTAAGTCACTCTGGATAAGAGCATCTGCTAAATGACAAGAATGTCAAATGTATACAGAAGATATCCCTATTTGGTAAAAGACAAAGTCCATATTATGGCAAGAACAGCTCAAATAAGCAAAGAGAAATATCAGTCATCATTACTTTAAGACATGAAGGTCAGTCAATATGTAACATTTCAAGAACTTTGAAAGGTTATTCAAGTGCAGTCGCAAAAACCATCAAGCGCTATGATGAAACTGGCTCTCATGAGGACCGCCACAGGAATGGAAGACCCAGAGTTACCTCTGCTGCAGAGGATAAGTTCATTAGAGTTACCAGCCTCAGAAATTGCAGCCCAAATAAATGCTTCATAGAGTTCAAGTAACAGACACATCTCAACATCAACTGTTCAGAGGAGACTGTGTGAATCAGGCCTTCATGGTGGAATTGCTGCAAAGAAACCATTACTAAAGGACACCAATAAGAAGAAGAAACTTGCTTGGGCCAAGAAACACGAGCAATGGACATTAGACAGGTGAAAATGTGTCCTTTGGTCTGGAGTCCAAATTGGAGATTTTTGGTTCCAACCGCCGTGGCTTTGTGAGATGCGGCGTGGGTGAACGGATGATCTCCGCATGTGTAGTTCCCACCGTAAAGCATGGAGGAGGAGGTGCTATGGTGTGGGGGTGCTTTGCTGGTGACACTGTCTGTGATTTATTTAGAATTCAAGGCACACTTAACCAGCATGGCTACCACAGCATTCTGCAGCGATACGCCATCCCATCTGGTTTGGGCTTAGTGGGACTATCATTTGTTTTTCAACAGGACAATGACCCATCACACCTCCAGGCTGTGTAAGGGCTATTTTACCAAGAGGGAGAGTGATGGAGTGCTGCATCAGATGACCTGGCCTTCACAATGCCCCGACCTCAACCCAATTGAGATGGTTTGGGATGAGTCGGACGGCAGAATGAAGGAAAATTAGCCAAAAACTTCTCAGCATATGTGGGAACTTCTTCAAGACTGTTGGAAAAGCATTCCAGGTGAAGCTGATCACTATTATTCTACAATGTAAAAAATAGTAAAAATAAAGAAAAACCTTGAATGAGTAGGTGTGTCCAAACCTTTGATTGGTACTGTATATCCCTGGCTTTTGTGAGAGAAAAATCTACATGTAACATGTTTACCTGTTTCGTTTAATATTAATAGATAACAATTATATACTGTTCTACTAATGCTAGGTTTTTGTAATGGGATGGTTTCTATTCCAGCTCCCTGCAGCTAGTCTAGGCATGTGGTCAAGGACATGGGTTTTGAGATAGGGGTATCTGGAGCTGACAATTGATTTATGAATGGCTAGGTGACAAAACCAACAGCCACATTCCATTCTATGATTAGTTGTGTGTGAAAGGGAGATGTCTCCGGTCTGACTGAACCTGCATTTTCATAGACTGAATTGGTGTTTGTGTAATGTAAGGTACCAGGGAGAGATGGCTCGGGTATGGATAATGTTGATAAGAACCTTGTCTTGGGGCCAAACCCTGGTTTCCATACAATGAGAACAGTCTTCACCGCAGATACTGTCTGCTGTGAATTATTCATTTATTTCATACAAATCCTAACCTTTTGACTCATTCCACACATCTGCTGTTTGTCATGTAGACTGAGAGGGTGTATCTTTGCTATAAAATGTATTTGTATTGTCTGTATGTCAGAGCTCTCTGCCCAACACTCAAGAGTGTTGGGTCGACCAGCCTCATTATTGCAGAGCACTCACTCCATTCACGGTTGTGGGTGGTGTGACCTGCTGCCCTATTAATACGTTTTGAATAAAGCAATATCCTGATTGGTGATTGACCTTGTCTCTCCTCATTATTGATTAGAATTTCCACGACACTTTCTATCTATTTCCTGCTGTGTCAAAGATTGATTCAATGTGTCTCTTTGTAAAAGTGTGTAAAATCCGTTCAGTGTCTCTCTGCTGTGTAAGGTCACATCTAGCTGTCGTTCATTCTCTCCCTCTTACAGCAGTATGTAACCTCAATTCATTCTCTCTCTCTCATCCTCTCTCTTTTTCTATGCAGTGAGTAACATAAGTTTATTCTCCTTCTCAATCTATCTCCCTCTCTCTCTTTGTTGTAAGTAAGGTCACATCTCTCCTGTCTTTTATTCTCCCTCCCTCCCTCCCTTCCTCTCTCTCTCTCTGCTGGTGATGCTCATTAGAATGCCATTCAGCAGAGGGTTTCCTGCTTTTCAAAGTCCTTCATTAGCTTCCTATTCCCAGGTGGCATGGCGATCCACCGCTCCGTCTCATTGGGCGTTCCTACTTAATTCTTATTTCCTCACTTGTTAATTAGCAGAGAACAAATCAGACAACTTTTACCCTCTTTCAACAAGACATTCATAAAAGACAGATTTAGTCCTCTTTTGTTCTTCTCTCTCACCTTTGATATCTTTGTTTCATTATGTATCAAACTAGACTTGACCACACTTTCAACTGCCAGGTACTTCACCAAATCAAATACTCCCTAAAAGGCAAAAACATTTATGAAAATGAACTCCCATTGATGTCCCTGGGTCAACCACAATCTAATTTACCCTCTCCAGTCTCCTGCCACAAACACTTTAAAAGAAACATCCATCCATTAAAGCCATGGAGAGAGATAAAAACAGGACTTATTGCTATAGCAACAACTTTAATCAAATGCACTGCAGGTACTCGTGTCTTTAAACTGTTTACTCTAACTGTATTTAGTACCCTCAGCGGCCTTCGGCGAGGCTGTAATTTTGTGCTAAATGTCAGGGTTGTTGTGCAGGCGCGTCATATTTTGTGGTGAAAAAATTGCTTATCTGGCAGTGAGAGCTAGTTTCAGCAGTATTCAAATCATTATTACTGCGACAACGATTGTTTATTAATCAAGCCCCCACTGCTGGCATGCGCAAACATACCTAAGATACGAATAAGACATTTATGAATTATAAATCATGCCTCATCCTTAATTTAGTGTTATGAGTTTCCCTCGTGTTTATTCACGAGCGTTGTTGTGATGGGATGGAGATGAGCCAGGCAGAATACAAATGAAGAGTTTATCTGAAGTAAACAAGGCGACAGACAGTGGTACAGACAGACAGACAGAGACAGCCAGGCAGACAGAGAGACAGAGACAGACAGACAGAGAGACAGACAGTGGTACAGGCAGACTGAGAGACAGAGACAGACAGACAGACCGACAGACAGACAGTGGTACAGGCAGACAGAGAGACAGAGACAGACCGAGAGACACAGACAGACAGACAGTGGTACAGGCAGACAGAGAGACAGAGACAGACAGACAGACCGAGAGACAGAGAGCGAGACAGACAGGCAGAGATAGACAGACAGACAGAGACAGAGACAGAGACAGACAGACAGACAGAGAGACAGACAGACAGACAGACAGATAGACCGACAAAGAGACCGATAGAGAGACCGACAGACAGACAAATAGACAGACAGATACAGTAGATAGAGAGGCAGGCAGTGGAGTGAGAGAGAGAGACAGATCGATAGATAGAGAGGCAGGCAGGCAGTGAAGTGAGACAGGGAGACAGAGACAGACAGATAGAGATAGACAATATGAAGGTAGAGAAGCAGACAGACAGTCAGTGAGTGAGAGAGGGGGACAGAAGACAAGCTGAAAGACAGACAGTGAGACATATAAAGATGCATAAAGGGGACAGACAGCTAAACACATTAATAACACACACACTCCCATTCTCTGACTCACCTGTGATGTGATAGCTGACTTGGCGGTTCACTGCAGAGCTGTCGTCGTCTCTAGTGTTGAGCACCGCCACCACCTCGCCAGGGGGGTCGCTCTCGCGCACCGAGCCCCAGTACCTCTCATCCAGGAAGCTGGGTGGGTTGTCGTTGATGTCTGACACGGCCACGGTCACCATGGAGGTTGAGGAGAGGGTCAGGGCCTCCCCCAGGTCTGAGGCCACAACCAGGAAGGCGTAGGATGGGCACATCTCGTGGTCCAACTCCTTGAGAGTAGAGATCCAGCCTGTGTTGCTGTCAATGGTGAAGGTCTCTGTGGATTGGTCCGGCTCCCCTTCAGATTGCGCCAATGTGCATAGGCTGTATGTAACTTGTCCGTTAGCTCCAGAGTCTGGGTCCAGAGCCTGAACCTGGATGATCATGGTGCCGATAGGCATCCCTTCCATCGCTGTTGCCTCGTAAGAGTTGGATTCAAATGCTGGCTTGTTGTCGTTCAGATCCAAGACTTTGACTTCTACGTCTACGCTGGTCACAGAGTCCAGCTTGGCCTGCTGGACCGTGGCCGTGATCTTGAAGTGGAAGGAGGTGATGACCTCGTGGTCCAGGGGCTTGTCCAGCTTGATGACCCCAGTGTCCCAGTCCACCACCAGGACTCCATCCTGGTTGTTTTCCCCGGTCTCTCCGTTGACCAGAGCAAAGGTGACTGGCAGCGAGGCGTAGCCTGGTGGGGTGATGAGGCGGACGGACCCCAGGGCAGCTCCTATAGGGGTGTCCTCTGGGACGGTAAAGGAAAACTGGGGTTGGGTAAAGGACGGGATGAGGGCGTCAGGGGCCAAGACATGGATGTAGACTGATACTAAAGAGTGCTTGACAGGGATGCCTCCATCTACTGCTTTGACAAAGAAAGACAGGACAGAGTTGCACAGGTGGCTGAAACTCCCCTTGGTGACCATCCAGCCGTTGTCAGGGTCGATCTCTAAGATATCCACCACGGGTGCGTGCGCCTCGCTGTAGAGCGAGTATGTCACTTTAGAGTTGGCACCATCGTCAGGATCATATGCCTGGATCTGGGTCACCAGGAAGCCCTTGCCCACGTCAGATTTGACGGAAGCACGGTATTCCGTAGCTCTGAAGCGAGGGACGTTGTCGTTGTCATCAACCAGGGAGACCCGGACGGTGCAGTAGGAGGCCCTTCCACCCTTGTCCTGGGCTGCCACCGTGAGGAAAATGTCCTTGTTGGCTGGGTCCTCTCTGTCCAGCTTCTCCAGGGTGGTGATCTGACCATTGGCGTCCACACTGAACTGGTCCTTGCCCACGTCATTGATGAATGAGTAGGTAATCTGGCCAAACACTCCTGGGTCAGCATCGGTCGCCCTCACCTGGAAATAATAGTTAAGTTACTTTATTTTAGATGGGGTATTGCACATGTCAAACAAAACATATTACAAATACTATTACAAATACAGTATTGTGTACATCAAAGCTTCAGTAAATAAAATACATATCATTATTTCAATTAATGCTCATAAGCTGAATACTTTAAAATGTATGGCTCTTACCTGGATCACCTTGACTCCTATCGCTGCATTTTCCCGTACCTCTGCCTCGTAGACATTCAGTTCAAACACAGGACTGTAGAGGTTGGCCCCCAGGACCCTGACGTGCACCTGGGCCGTGCTGGTGAACACCCCATCAGACACGGATACATTCAGACTGTAGGCTGGCTCCATCCTCTGCTTTCTGTGACCAGACAGCGTGATGATACCAGTCTTATCATCCATCACAAAGTTAATCCTTTCGTTCCCTGACAGGATGCTGTACTCCAGTTTGTCATAGTCGGAGCTGTCAGCATCCGAAGCCTGGATGCAGGTCACAAAATGGCCCCTAGGGGCCAGCTCGCTGACATAGGCCTCGTAGAGAAGCTGGTTAAACACCGGAGGGTTGTCGTTCATGTCGTTCACCACCACTGTGACCGACACTTCACTGCTCAGCGGTGGGAAGCCGTTATCGGTTGCCCTGACGATGAAGTCATAGCGCTGGACCAGCTCGTGGTCGAGCATGCGGGCGGTCAGGATGAGGCCGCTGCTGCTGTCAATGTGGAAGTGGTCGGTGTTGTTGTAGGCATCTGTGGGGTAGAAGATCTGATAGCGTACGATGTTGTTCTTCTCAGAGTCTTGGTCGGTAGCCACCACTTGCAGCCCCGGAGTGCCGATCATGGCAGTCTCAGACAGAACCGCCTTATATGATGTTTTCTCAAACACTGGAGGGTTATCATTGACGTCATTAACTGTGACATCTACGTCCACCTCAGCACGAGCGCCGGTCAGGTAGTCTGTGGCTCTGACGGTCAGACGGAAGGATGGGGCGATCTCATAGTCCAGGGAGTTGATGACTCTGATGACTCCGGTGTCAAAGCCGATGTCGAACTGCAGAGAGGGGTCTCCCTCCACGATGGTGTAGATGATGTTCTGGCCCTCTGGGCTGGTGGCATTGATTCCTAATATAGGCGTATGTACCTCTACATCCTCATTCACCGTCACTGCGTAGAAGGACTTGTCAAAGACGGGCATGGCCTTGTTCACCACAGTGATGGGGAACTCTACGGTGGATGAGAGGGAAGGGTAACCTCCGTCCTTGGCGTAAACTACCATCTGGTATTCCTGGTTGGACAGGTCAGACTCAAAAGCCTTCTTCAGACGGAGGCCGCCCGTCAGCCTGTCAATCTCAAAGTGTCCGTGGTCGTCTTTGAGGTAGTAGGACACATCTCCGTTGATGCCTTTGTCACGGTCCACGGCGGTGACTCTGAATATGGGCGCACCAGGTTCAGCCTCCACTTGGACAGCAGCGTAATACGGAAGTCCTAGGAACACAGGAGCGTTGTCGTTAATGTCCTCTACCTGGACCCTGATCATCACCCTGGCAACACGCAGATGGTCGTGCTCCCTCCCAGCCTCCACCACCAGCTCATAGAACTCCTGCTCCTCACGGTCGAAGGGAACCCCAGTGGTCTGGATTACGCCAGAGGTGGGTCGGATCCGGAAGCGTGTCCCTGGATTCAGTAGGGTGTACTTGAGGGGCTCGTTGAGGCGATTCCCCACTGCATTGACCACGGCCACTTTGGTGATGTTCGTATTGTTCTCCTGGATGGACGAGGAGTAGAGGCTGTGGGCGAAGAAGAGGCCAGAGTCCAGCGTCTCACGGACCAGCACAGTGACTAGAGCAGTGCTGGAGAACTTCCCGTCGGACACTTTGACATTGAAGCGGAACCGTTCCTTGGAGAAGTTGTTGTTCTTGACGGTGATGATGCCGCTGGAGGGCTGGATGGCAAAGTGCTCCAGGTTGCCATCTGTCAGTGAGTAGGTGAGTTCTGTGGGGACGTTTTGATCTGGGTCCGTGGCTGAGACCTGTAATGCCTCTACTCCTACATAGGTGGGCAGCAGCAGGACAGTTTCATAGGCGTCCTGGGTGAAGACAGGTGGAGAGTCGTTTGTGTCGATCACTTGGATGGTGACCTCAGTGGGGCTATCCGCTGTCAGCTGAGGCCTCCCACTGTCCCTCACGTGAACATGAAAGTTAAAACTAGCAAACGTCTCATGGTCCAGGTTGGCGATAGTCCTGATGGAGCCGGTGCCAGAATCCACTGTAAAGAACATCTTGGCTGTGTCCTCAACGATCTGATAGACCAGGAGAGCGTTCTGGTTGCGGTCAGCATCAGTGGCCTTGATGACCAAAGGAGTGTTGTCTGGGTTCAGGACCACACTGTTGATGGGCACTGCCTCCCTGATACTACCTTGGTAGCGCAGCAGCTGGAACACAGGTGGGTTGTCGTTTTCATCCACCACCCGTATGAGCAGGGTGGCGTTGGAGGCCATCCCAGCCATGTTGGTGGCCTGGACAATCAGGTTATAAGATGCTGTGGTCTCATAGTCAAGGGGTTTTTGAGTTGTGATCACACCGCTATACTGGTTGATCCTGAAGGTGCGTTTGCTGTTGCCATGTCGGATGTCATAGGTCAGTGTGGATTGGCTCATGGCGCTCACCGTGGTGACAGAGGTTCCCACGGCAATGTTCTCTGTGACCTCGGCCTGGTACTCGGTCTGGGGGAACTTGGGTCCGGCATTGTCGGAGAGCGTGACGGTGATGCGAACCACAGAGGTGGCAGAGAGTGGCGGGGACCCGTTGTCGGTGACTCTGACAGTGATGACGTAATGGCCGATGTTAGAGAGGTCGAGCTCGCGGGCCACAGAGATGATCCCCAGAACCGGCTCAATCCGGAACGTGTTCCCTGTGTTGCCTAAAGGAAAACAGACATAACAATGAATATTCAGTGATAAAAACTAGTGTAACTAAATCTATATAAACTGTTTGTATATTGTAATCTATTATCGATATACTGTCTATATCAGGAGTCTCCAATAGGTCGACCGACCTATGAGTAGCTTGCCAAACAATTCTGAAAGTACATGACATTTTCACGTGTTCCACCGCAAACTGTCATAAACAAATCTCACAAGTATCAGACACTGCAAGCTCCCAGCTACTATCTAATCAACACAATATTGACATTATCCCACCTCTGGTTAGCCACTATTGGCTTAAAAAGCCAAACCTAACACAATATCTGCCAATTAATTTCCAGCAATTGTCCCTGTCTGTCTGTGTGGTGCGCACGTTTGTCTATTGCTCCATTTGTAGCCAGTTGATGTGATAACCATTTTTGTAGGTTGACAGAAATGGGCGTACTTTCCCCAAAACCTTCTCAATTAAATGTTAACTGTAAAGTAGGCTTACCTGACAGAAGTATATCATGAGTAAGTATATCATTTGTATCTATTATTTGCTAACTTTGCCATGAAATGAGTAGCAGCAGTACAGAACCATCGCTAGACTGGCACATTCCTCACATTAGACAGTAATTAAAGGGCCAGATGCGCAACTAAATTACACTCAAAAATCTATTTGTTAGTTTTCTAAAAAATTGTCTTCTGATGTGATTTAAGCATGACATGGACTCAGAACATCCAATTTCATTGTTTCTCTATGAACAATTGTAATTTTGAGAGTAAAACATTTATACATCTAAAACCAGAAAATATTTAACTGAGAAAACATAATTTGGTAAATATCAAACAGAATTTGGGAAAAAAATCTGCGATTTAATAGGGCCCCCTTAGAGTGGTTTATTAACCATTATTTTACCAGGTACAGTTGAAGTCTGAAGTTTACATACACTTAGGTTGGAGTCATTAAAACTCGTTTTTCAACCACTCCACACATTTCTTGTTAACAAACTATAGTTTTGGCATGTCGGTTAGCACATCTACTTTGTGCATGACACAAGTAATTTTTCCAACAATTGTTTACACAGATTATTTCACTTATAATTCACTGTATCACAATTCCAGTGGGTCAGAAGTTTACATACACTAAGTTGACTGTGCCTTTAAACAGCTTGGAAAATTCCAGAAAATGATGTCATGGCTTTAGGAGCTTCTGATAGGCTAATTGACATCATTTGAGTCAATTAGAGGTGTATCTGTGGATGTATTTCAAGGCCTACCTTCAAACTCAGTGCCTCTTTGCTTGACATCATGGGAAAATCAAAAGAAATCAGCCAAGACCTCAGAAAAAAAATGGTAGACCTCCACAAGTCTGGTTGATCCTTGGGAGCAATTTCCAAACGCCTGAAGGTACCACGTTCATCTGTACAAACAATAGTACGCAAGTATAAACACCATGGGACCACGCAGCCGTCATACCGCTCAGGAAGGAGACGCGTTCTGTCTCCTAGAGATGAACGTACTTTGGTGCGAAAAGTGCAAATCAATCCCAGAACAACAGCAAAGGAGCTTTTGAAGATGCTGGAGGAAACAGGTACAAAAGTATCTATATCCACAGTAAAACAAGTCCTATATCGACATGACCTGAAAGGCCGCTCAGCAAGGAAGAAGCCACTGCTCCAAAACCACCATAAAAAGCCAGACTACGGTTTGCAAATGCACATGGGGACAAAGATCGTACTTTTTGGAGAAATGTCCTCTGGTCAGATGAAACAGAAATATAACTGTTTGGCCATAATTACCATTGTTATGTTTGGAGGAAAAAGGGGGTTCTTGCAAGCCGAAGAACACCATCCCAACCGTTAAGCACGGGGGTGGCAGCATCATGCTGTGGGGGTGCTTTGCTGCAGGAGGGACTGGTGCACTTCACAATATAGATGGCATCATGAGGAAGGAAAATTATGTGGATATATTGAAGCAATATCTCAAGACATCAGTCAGGAAGTTAAAGCTTGGTCGCAAATGGGTCTTCCAAATGGACAATGACCCCAAGCATACTTCCAAAGTTGTGGCAAAATGGCTTAAGGACAACAAAGTCAAGGTATTGGAGTGGCCATCACAAAGCCCTGACCTCAATCCTATAGAAAATGTGTGGGCAGAACTGAAAAGGCGTGTGCGAGCAAGGAGGCCTACAAACCTGACTCAGTTACACCAGCTCTGTCAGGAGGAATGGGCCAAAACTCACCCAACTTATCGTGGGAAGCTTGTGGAAGGCTACCCAAATGGTTTGACCCAAATTAAACAATTTAAAGGCAATGCTACCAAATACTAATTGAGTGCATGTAAACTTCTGACCCACTGGGAATGTGATTAAATAAATAAAAGCTGAAATAAATCATTCTCTCTACTATTATTCTGACATTTCACATTCTTAAAATGAAGTGGTGATCCTAACTGACCTAAAACAGGGAATTTTTACTAGGATTAAATGTCAGTAATTGTGAAAAACGTAAACTTCCGACTTCAACTGTATATTGACAGCAAACATATTGCGCAACTTTCCTTCTAAGGACCCGGGGAAGAGTTGCAGGGGAGAGGAGAAAGGAAGAATGTGCCTATTTGAAAGCTAGAAAACCAAAATGTAGCTCGCACAATGTTTCCTTTTTTAAAAGTAGCTCTCATGCTAGAAAAGGTTGGAGACCCCTGGTCTATATCTATGTATAGTTAGACACACCTTAATATTTTGATAGTTCTAAAACTCTTATTATAAACTGGGTGGTTCGAGCCCTGAATGCTGATTGGTTGAAAGCCATGGTATATCAGACGGTATACCACGGGTGTGACAAAACATTTATTTGTACTGCTCTAATTATGTTGGTAACCAGTTTATAATAGCAATAAGGCACCTTGGGGGTTTGTGGTATATGGCCAATATACCACGGCTAAGGGCTGTATCCAGGCATTCCGTGTTGCGTCATGCTTAAGAACAGCCCTTAGCCGTGTTATATTGGCCATATATACCATACCTCCTCGGGCCTTATTGTTTAGTTACAATTCCTTTTCTATAGTTGCTCACCTGATTCCATAGTATACAGGAGTTCTGCGTTCTCTCCCTTGTCTTTGTCCAGGGCAGTCACCTGGAGCACAGCAGAGCCCACTGCTGCAGACTCATAGACCGAACCCTCGTACAGAGCACTGGTGAACACTGGGACATGGTCATTAACATCCTCCACATCCACCAACACTCGGGCCAGGTTCCTCCTGTACGGAAACTCCTGGTCTTTTACCTGAGGGAGAAAAATTATTCCAATCATTGGTCTACTAATGCAGGTGTATAGTATTAGATCTGACACAATTACATTTCTCATTATATAACCGGCATGAGGCAAAATAAACACTTGCATATTACAAAATAACTTTCTAAACAAACAGAATCAATAGGACAAATATTCTTGGAGTTTCCATTTATAAAATGTACTGAAGCTTTAACTTCCCATGAAATGAAAAGTGAGTGTCACTGCAAACCACCATGGGTCTTTTGGGACGGAGTAATCCTGTCATTGAGAGACCAGATGAGAATTAGAGGGCTAATGAGATGGATATTTATGCCCCGATGCGAGACTCTCCACAACAAGAGAATGGGATCAGAGAAAAAGCCTGTCTCATACGAGGCACCACACAGGGTGAGTATTAATAGAACCAGCATTAGCATCAGAATTAGCGCTAGGTCTGCTGTCAGTATTATGAAACACTGGCTAGTTCAACACTCTTAACACAACCCACTGGGACTATGAGTGGTATAATAGCCCTAGACTGAATGGTATTATGGTACTGAGGAAGTGGTAGGCGGAAGATCACTGGGTCCATTGGAGATAAGAGCTGTTCTGTGTCTGTTCTGTCTGTGTCTATGCATGTTTGTCTATGTTCGCCTGAGGCTCAGGATAATAGGAGTATCATTGTGGCTCAGCCTTTCTATTAATCAAAGCAGCTACACACAATAGCCAAAACTGTTATACGTGCTCTGTTTGGGGACCGTTATCTTGGACTCTGTAGTGGTTATGTGTAGTCAATGCTCTGTTTGGGGACTGTTATCTTGGATTCTGTAGTGGTTATGTGTAGTCAATGCTCTGTTTGGGGACCGTTATCTTGGACTCTGTGGTGGTTATGTGTAGTCAATGCTCTGTTTGGGGACCGTTATCTTGGACTCTGTAGTGGTTATGTGTAGTCAATGCTCTGTTTGGGGACTGTTATCTTGGACTCTGTAGTGGTTATGTGTAGTCAATTAATATTTATATTGTTAGACCTCTTATCTATTTAGTGCAGGAAGATGTTATAATTATGAGATACTGATCATATTTTAGCCTATACATGTAGAAACATACCTGGTTCCAGCACAGTAGGCACTGCCATGGGCACACCGAATGTCAGATTTTAAATATACTATCTACCTGTGGATTCCACCTAATTAAATCAGTGCTTCGCCTCAAACTGAAATATTTTCCCTCATTAAAAATGTCAAGCAGACGTTCCTACCTCGCTTATCACCACGGTATGATAAAATTCAAAATGACAACGTTTGATCGATAATTACATTTCCCGGAGATGAAGTGATTTGAGAAAACAGTACGACTACAGTGGTAAGATGAGCAGTCGTTTCCTATTTTTACTACCCACTGAACCAGAGGAATGAAGTAAAACAGAGTGAATGAGGGTGATTCATTTTAAAACTCCACACACACACACACAAACACACACAAATACAGTCTGACTCCACACACACACACACACACACACACACACACACACACACACACACACACACACACACACCTAACACTCTCCCAACCAACACAAAACAGTTCCAGACAGATCACTCTCACATCTCTCTTTCGCACATTCCTTTTATCTCTCTCCCCAACACACACACACACACACACACACACACACACACACACACGGTCATGGTTCCTAAAACTGTCTCATTCCCTTGACGAGGGTGAGACGTTGGTTCATTGCTCTCAGTAATTAGTGTAATTGCTTAATGATGAGCTCAGGTAAAATGAGAACAGACATAGAAGTAGTCTCTGGCAGGAGAGCTGAGTTACATTAGAATATTAAGCTACTGGAATAAAGATAATGTTCTTGACCCACTCTACATCTCTCCTCTCCTCTCCTCTCCTCTCCTCCTCTCCTCTCCTCTCCTCTCCTCTCCTCTCCTCTCCTCTCCTCTCCTCTCCTCTCCTCTCCTCTCCTCTCCTCTCCTCTCCTCTCCTCCTCTGACAGCTTCAACACATCCATAACCAATGGAGGGCTTTTCATGCAGAATCTTAAGAGAATGTGAACAAATAATGCAAATGGAATACTCCCTTACAATGAAATTCAAGATAACCTAACCATATTTGATAGAACAGTAACGGTCTCAGTCTCTCACCATGACAGTGAGGATGTGCTGTGCTCTAGCCTCGTGGTCCAGTCTCTCTGTAGTATACACCGTGCCAGTGTTGGGGTCAATACGGAACAGCCGCAGGCTGGAGGGGTCGATGGCGCTGTGGAGGGAGTAGGTGAGGCGGTGGCGCTCGTCACGGTCCGACGCCAACACCTGGACCACCTCCGTCTCCGCGGGCGTGTCCTCAGAGATGGTGATGTCATAGGTGGGCTGGGAGAAGACGGGTGCGTTGTCGTTGTTGTCCAACACTGTGATGTGGACCTGGAGAGAGGGAGAGAGGGGGGTTGTGGGTAGGCTATGTCGTAGTACTACAACACACAAACGTTTTTGTCTTCAGGCCATAACATATACAGTCGGTCAGATACTATATTCAGTTCCGTGTCATACAGTACATATTTGCGAGTCTGTCACAACTATTATGTGAATAAGATGTTTTTGCAGCTCATGTATATATATACGCCATGTACCGTATATGCCAGTCGAGACATATGTTTGCTGACGTGCTTGTTGTGTTGCATGTCATGTACTGTGTTGACGGTTGATGACTCATGGAAATCTTGTGAGTCAAGAACAGCAGATTCCCACCGCCGGTGACAAAGGCGGTGGCGTTGCGTAAGAAGGAAGGCGTATTGGGAGGCTAAATATAAGACAGGAGCAGCAGCTGTCTTCCTGCCGGTGAACAGTGGAGATTTCCCCCATTGGGCGTCACGCTGAGCCTCCATCTGTGATGTTGAAGAAGGGAAGTCAGCACAGCCTCTCATGACTGGCTCTACTGTCAGAATGTCTTACAGGTGTGTGTGTGGGCCGGGGGGATACACATGTGTTTGTAGGTGTATTGAACACCCATAGGGATTTAGTCAGCACATCTTGCATTTTTACTTTTTAGACATTTAGCAGACACACTTATCCAGAGCGACTTACAGTAGTGAGTGAATACATTTTAATACTTTCTTCGTACTGGTCCCCCGTGGGAATCAAACCCACAACCATAGCGCTGCAAGCACCATGCTCTACCAACTGATCTACACAGGACTATCTTGCAGGGGTGTGTAGGGACTGTATGTGTATGTGTGTGTGTGTGTGTGTGTGTGTGTGTGTGTGTGTGTGTGTGTGTGTGTGTGTGTGTGTGTGTGTGTGTGTGTGTGTTGGTAGGCAGTGTGTTGGAATGAATAGCAAGGGGGCTTGGACATCGTGAACAGGTACTAGCACGACATGGCCTAATGGACCAACTGAGACAGAAAGAGTTACTCAGTCTGAATAGAGAGTAGAGTAGGTGAGAGAGGATGTTTTTGGCTTCCTGTGCCCTAGCTAGCTATTAGATCTCTGTACTTAATGAGGATTCTCACTGGGCACACACTGGTTGAATCAACGTTGTAATTTCAATGAAATAACGTTGAACCAATGTGGAATAGATGTTGAATTGACGTCTGTGCCCAGTGGGTTGGCTCTCTCTTTCAGGGCACACAACAGTAAAGCCAATTTGCATTTCCCTCCAGCTATCATTCTGATGAAAAGAGGAAGAGAGAGAGAGAGAGAGAGATAGAGAGAGCTATAGATATCGCGACTATATAGAGATGAGAGAGAGATAGCTCTCGTCTCTCGCTCCTCGCTCTCTCTCTTCTCCTCTCATCGCGCTCGCGCTCGCCGCTCTCGCGCGCTCTCTATATCTTCCCCCTCACAATGTGATGTAAGAAATGGAAAAAGGCAACCAAACCTACAGTACATGTATGTGTGAATGTGTTCATATTAATCTAAATCTCCAGCATTATCAGTATACTATCCTTTACACCAGGGAACCAGTTTCTCTGTCACCTTGTCTCAAAACGCTTTACAGAAACAATGCCAAGCACCGTAGGAACATGACAGACAGACATGCATGGATATGACAAAAATACAAAATACATATGAATATAAATTATATGTATTAATGTGTCCCTTTCACAGGCCTAATGCCTGGGTATTGAAAAGCACTGGCCCTGAAAATGACAACGGAGCAGGTATAGTGACATTCGCGTGGAACGGACTGTCACGGGGAAATTATAAGGTGTCTTGCAAGCACATTCCGTATGTCACTGCAATCCATTCCTCTCTATGAAAATGCTAATCCATTCTACTGTGTGTGCGTGTCCTGTTCCACCACAGTCACCTTCTGCATTTAACACACAGTAAACACACATAGTATGTGACAGATCATCTAAAAGAGGAAAGGGAAATAAGATATACTGGTATATTTCTCTATCATCACACTGTATAACGTCCAACCCACTATACAACATGACATTCCTAACTCAAACAGAGACTGATAAAGAATCTTCACACTAGCTCAGTTTATACACTAACAATCTTTGGACCGTTCAACCACAGTCTGAACAGTGCGAAAGGAACAGAACAGGACAGGACATGGCAGAACAGGACAGGACATGGCAGAACAGGACAGGACATGGCAGAACAGGACAGGACATGGCAGAACAGGACAGGACATGGCAGAACAGGACAGGACATGGCAGAACAGGACAGGACATGGCAGAACAGGACAGGACATGGCAGAACAGGACAGGACATGGCAGAACAGGGCAGGACATGGCAGAACAGGACAGGGGAGGCTACTGTCCTCTGTACAAACAGAGGAATTAGACGCGGGGAGAGAGAGACGATTACACTGCTAGTTATCACCGCTCGCCGTGTTCCGATCACTCTAATAGGTCCTTGAAACGCCAGACGCCATCATTAATGTGACAATGTGACGCCATCCATCACACCATCTAAAGACGTTTTTCAAAATGGCTGATGAAATTAGTTAAAAACATAATGTCCTTGGGAAAAATGAGGGCATGGGAGTGTAGCGTCCGTCCATGAAGGCGAGGTCTGTGTATGTGGTTTCAAAAGTAACTATTAGTAGCATGCATGTGGTTTATACTTTATGAGGGTGTGTGTGAGGGTCTGTGTAAGGGTGCATTTATGCGTGTTCAGATGTACAGGTGGTCGAAAGCTACAGAACACAATACTAACAGTGCCACGTTAACTTTAACTTACGCACTCCAAAATCAACACATACAGGTAGTAGATTTGTCTCTTTCTGAGAATAAATAAATAGGGATCTGATATGTTGTGTCTCCAGCTACCTGTGTGGCTGCAGAGTTGGTCCCGTCCGTCACCTCCACAGTCATGTTGTAGAAGGAGCGCTGCTCAGCGTCCAGAGGCTTAGCGATGATGATGGTGCCCACGCACTTCTCTATGTCAAACAGGCTGTCAGTGTTACCACCTGGCCAGGAGGGGGGAATAGAGAGCACAGGGGGGTTAGAGACAGAGGAGGAGGAGGGGCTGGTTTATTCATCTCTCGCTCTCTTTTGTCTTTCACAAACGTTCTCACTCTTCTTCTCTCTCTCTCTCTACCTCACACTAACAAACAGACTCTCTTACACATAAACGTACATTTTAATAAGGTGTATGGGTCTGTGATAGTGAAAAACAGGGAAGCATACTGAATTGTGGGTGTGACAGTGTTGTGTGGAGTATATGATCTGAACAATTCCTGTCTCTCTTCCAGGGAATACATAAATAGACACAAACACACACAAATACAACATTACACACAAAAGCGTACACACATAAACTAACAGGGAGTGGGCATGCACAATCACAATACAAGTGTGTGTGTGTGTGTGTGTGTGTGTGTGCGTGTGTCTTTCAACCAATCTGTGAGTAATTACTAGGTTCAGAGAGACCCAACAAGACTGTGACAGACTGAAGTCTTTCCTCCTCTTCCTGCAAATAACAATTAAGAGACAGAGAGCCAGTAAACGAGAGAGCCCTGAAAGACTGAATTAACAGAGCCCTCAAAGGCTGAATTAACAGAGCCCTCAAAGACTGAATTAACAGATACCCCCAAAGACTGAATTAAAAAAGCCCTGAAAGACTGAATTAACAGAGCCCTCATAGACTGAATAAACAGAGTCCTTGAGGGACTGAATTAACAGAGCCCTGAAAGACTGAATTAACAGAGCCCTCAAAGACTGAATTAACAGAGTCCTCGAGGGACTGAAATAACAGAGCCCTGATAGACTGAATTAGCAGAGCCCCCAAAGACTGAATTAAAAAAGCCCTGAAAGACTGAATTAACAGAGCCCTCAAAGACTGAATTAACAGTCCTCGAGGGACTGAATTAACAGAGCCCTGAAAGACTGAATTAACAGAGCCCTCAAAGACTGAATTAACAGAACCCTCAAAGACTGAATTAACAGAGCCCTCAAAGACTGAAATAACAGAGCCCTCAAAGACTGAATTAACGGAGCCCTCAAAGACTGAATTAACAGAGCCCTGAAAGACTGAATTAACAGAGCCTGTGTCAATGGAGCTTCAGGCGTGAACGGGCCCGAGTCTGAAATGAGCCCACTAAGACTGGCTGCAATTAAACCATAGCCTCATCTCTGGTACCTAATTGATTTAAATGGACATTTTGGCCTCACGCTGATCCCACTCACAGCTCAGAGTGTGTAAAGGTCATTTGGAGGTGCGATGTAAGGGTCCGGAGTGTTTGTGTGTGTGTGTCGTAGACGTGTTTAACTATTCTTGTGGGGAGCAGAAGTTCTTGTGGGGACCAGAAATTTGACCAACTGGGGACATTTTGTTAGTCCCCACAAGGTCAAATGCTATGTCTAGGGGGTTTAGGTTTAAGGTTAGAATTATAAATAAATAAATAAATAATATGCCATTTAGCAGACGCTTTTATCCAAAGCGACTTACAGTCATGCGTGCATACATTTTTGTGTATGGGTGGTCCCGGGGATCGAACCCACTACCTTGGCGTTACAAGCGCCGTGCTCTACCAGCTGAGCTACAGAGGACCAGTGTTAGGAATTAGTGTTAGGGTTAAAATTACATTAAGGGTTATTGTTAGGAGCTAGGGTTAGTTTTAGGGTTAGGAGCTAGGGTTATGTTTAGGGTTAGGTTTTTGGGTTAAGGTTAGGGTTAAGGTTAGGGTTAGGGTAAGGGTAAGAGTACGGGTTAGGGTTAGGTTTAGGGGTTAGGGAAAATAGGATTTTGAATGGGACCGAATTGTGTGTCCCCACAAGGTTTGCTGTACAAGACTGTGTGTGTGAGAATGTGTCTGCTTGTCTGCATGCCTGTGTGTATACTATATGAATGAGTATGTGTGTATGAATGAGATTATGTGTGTGTGTGTGAGTGTGTGAGTGTGTGTGTGTGTGTGTTGTGTGTGTGGTGTGTGTTGTGTGTGTGTGTGTGAGTGAGGTGCGTGCGTGCGTGCGTGTGCGTGTGAGTGGTGTGTGTGTGTGTGTGTGTGTGTGTGTGTGTGTGTGTGCGCACTAGCGTATGTGGTGCAGATTCCTCCCCGGCGTCTCTGTCTAATAAAGCCATGACCTCAGCCCAGCACCAGCTAATGCTATAACGCTCCACCACTCACCATGGGTGTGTGTGTGTGTCCTATTTGTGCTTGGGTTAGAATAAACACTTCCAGTTCTCTATCATCTGTCTCTTAAATCATTATAACTCCAGTGATGCGGTTCTAACAGATTTCCTCAAAAGATGTGCAAAAGGAAGAGACTGAAAACAGCCATGATCCTTGTCTCATTCCCTTAACTTCTGCTAACAGCAATCTAGTGCTTTTACGGTTCAGTATGCTGATTAGCATCATATCCGTACCAGACGATTTTACATTCATTAGTGGAGTGCAATATACACTACATGGCCAAAAGTATGTGGACAACCTGCTCGTCATACATCGCATTCCAAAATCATGGGCATTGACATGGAGTTGGTCCCCCCTTTGCTGCTATAACAGCCTCTACTCTTCTGGGAAGGCTTTCCACTAGATTTTGGAACATTTCTGCGGGGTCTTGCTTCCATTCAGCCACAAGAGCATTAGTGAGGTCGGGCACTGATGTCAGGCGATTAGGCCTGGCTCGCAGTCGGCGTTCCAATTCATCCCAAAGGTGTTCGATGGAGTTGAGGTCAGGGCTCTGTGCAGGCCAGTCAAGTTCTTCCACACCGATCTCGACAAACCATTTCTGTTTGGACCTCGCTTTGTGCACGGGGGCAATGTCATGCTGAAATAGGAATGGGCCTTCCCCAAACTGTTGCCACAAAGTTGGAAGCACAGAATCGTCTAGAATGTCATTGTATGCTGTAGCGTTAAGATTTCCCTTCACTGGAACTAAGGGGCCTAGCCCGAACCATGAAAAAACAGCCCCAGACCATTATTCCTCCTCCACCAAACTTTACAGTTGGCACTATGCATTAGGGCAGGTAGCGTTTTCCTGGCATCCGCCAAACCCAGATTTGTCCGTCGGACTGCCAGATGGTGACGCGTGATTCATCACTCCAGAGAACGCGTTTCCACTGCTCCAGAGTCCAATGGCAGCGAGCTTTACACCCCTCCAGCTGACGCTTGGCATTCCGCATGGTGATCTTAGGGTTGTGTGTGTGGCTGCTCGGCCATGGAAACCCATTTCATGAAGCTCCCGATTAACAGTTATTGTGCTGACATTGCTTCCAGAGGCAGTGTGGAACTCGGTAGTGAGGACAGACCAAGGACAGACAAGTTTTATGCGCTACGTTCTTCAGCACTCGGCGGTCCTGTTCTGTGAGCTTGTGTCGTCTACCACTTAGCGGCTGAGCTGTTGTTGCTCCTAGACGTTTTCACTTCACAATAACAGCACTTACAGTTGACCGGGGCAGCTCTAGTAGGGCAGAAATTTGACGAACGGACTTGTTGGAAAGGTGGCATCCTATGACGGTGCCAACTTTGAAAGTCACTGAGCTCTTCAGTAAGGCCATTCTACTGCCAATGTTTGTCTATGGAAATTGCATGGGTGTGGCTGAAATAGCCGAATCCACTACAGTATTAAGAAAAATAAGCCATTTAAGAGTATTAAAATCCAACCATGAAGGCTTCAGAAGGCTCTCTGCCTGTCTGTCTGTCTGTCTGTCTGTCTGGAGCCATCCTATATGACCCAATCAACCAAACGCTCCATTTCGGGAAAGGAGGCACTGAGGTTTGGCACGGCGGCAACCGGGCAGACGGAAAAAGAACAGTTCCCTTCCATCAAATTATAGAGGGGAAACCGAACCCTCCGCGACACGGCTGTTATTAAACGCTAAAATTGTTTCCCTCAGTCTCTCTATGCAGATTAGTAAGGGAAGCCGCTCCAGTGCTTAACAACACTCTGGCAGGCAGCACAACCGATAAAGAGGCATATTTATCTTCCTTTCAACGAAGGAGGAGGGGAGGAAGTTAGCGTTTGGCGTAAACAGATAAAACCAAGCAAATTAACAAAAGAATAGGAAAATGAGGAGAATTGCTGTTTGGAAATTAGTTCAACAACGCCTTCGTTAACTAGCTTTAATCGGTTGAGAAAATGGCTAGGATATAGTGAGTGGTTGATTGAGTGCGTGGGGAGGTTCTGGGATCGTTTGAGTAGGCTGAGTGGAGAATCTAGGATTTCTGGGATTGATTGGTATAGGCTGGACAGGGGACATAGGATCAAACTGAATTGGCATCATCATCACAGTCATGCTTTGTCTGGATTGACTTGATATATAGAACCCAGCTGTCTGGATTGACTTGATATATAGAACCCAGCTGTCTGGATTGACTTGATATATAGAACCCAGCTGTCTGGATTGACTTGATATATAGAACCCAGCTGTCTGGATTGACTTGATATATAGAACCCAGCTGTCTGGATTGACTTGATATATAGAACCCAGCTGCTCAGAATGTAGCGTAGGGTTGTGGTGGCTCGTCTATAAGAGGACGACTTGATGATGTGTTTATAGGATTTGGTGGCTGGATGGTTGACATGGCATACATGGCAAACGTTGAGTGGTTAAAACGGCATCCGTTTGGACGGTGTGTGTGTTTAGGAGGTTTAATAGCAGCTAAATAATAGTCAAATGGGTGTGTTATACTTTCTGGACAGTAATGCGTTTAGCAGTGGATTAGTGTGTGTGTGTGGGTGGTGTGTGGGTGGTGTGTGTGTGTGTGTGATAAGGGAGCATAGATTTAGGCATGTGCAAAAAGTATGTGTGAGGGGAATTCGGAAGCGGTTGTACATGCTTGTGTGTACAGTGAGGGAAAAAAGTATTTGATCCCCTACTGATTTTGTACGTTTGCCCACTGACAAAGACATGATCAGTCTATAATTTTAATGGTAGGTTTATTTGAACAGTGAGAGACAGAATAACAACAACAAAAATCCAGAAAAACGCATGTCAAAAATTTTATAAATTGATTTGCATTTTAATGAGGGAAATAAGTATTTGACCCCTCTGCAAAACATGACTTAGTACTTGGTGGCAAAACCCTTGTTGGCAATCACAGAGGTCAGACGTTTCTTGTAGTTGGCCACCAGGTTTGCACACATCTCAGGAGGGATTTTGTCCCACTCCTCTTTGCAGATCTTCTCCAAGTCATTAAGGTTTCGAGGCTGACATTTGACAACTCGAACCTTCAGCTCCCTCCACAGATTTTCTATGGGATTAAGGTCTGGAGACTGGCTAGGCCACTCCGGGACCTTAATGTGCCTCTTCTTGAGCCACTCCTTTGTTGCCTTGGCCGTGTGTTTTGGGTCATTGTCATGCTGGAATACCCATCCACGACCCATTTTCAATGCCCTGGCTGAGGGAAGGAGGTTCTCACCCAAGATTTGACGGTACATGGCCCTGTCCATCGTCCCTTTGATGCGGTAAAGTTGTCCTGTCCCCTTAGCAGAAAAACACCCCCAAAGCATAATGTTTCCACCTCCATGTTTGACGGTGGGGATGGTGTTCTTGGGGTCATAGGCAGCATTCCTCCTCCTCCAAACACGGCGAGTTGAGTTGATACCAAAGAGCTCGATTTTGGTCTCATCTGACCACAACACTTTCACCCAGTTCTCCTCTGAATCATTCAGATGTTCATTGGCAAACTTCAGACGGCCCTGTATATGTGCTTTCTTGAGCAGGGGGACCTTGCGGGCGCAGCAGGATTTCAGTCCTTCATGGCGTAGTGTGTTACCAACTGTTTTTTTGGTGACTATGGTCCCAGCGGCCTTGAGATCATTGACAAGATCCTCCCGTGTAGTTCTGGGCTGATTCCTCACCGTTCTCATGATCATTGCAACGCCACGAGGTGAGATCTTGTGTGGAGCCCCATGCCCCATGCCAGATTGACAGTTATTTTGTGATTCTTCCATTTGCGAATAATCGCACCAACTGTTGTCACCTTCTCACTAAGCTGCTTGGCGATGGTCTTGTAGCCCATTCCATCCTTGTGTAGGTCTACAATTTTGTCCCTGACATCCTTGGAGAGCTCTTTGGTCTTGGCCATGGTGGAGAATTTGGAATCTGATTGATTGATTGCTTCTGTGGACAGGTGTATTTTATACAGGTAACAAACTGAGATTAGGAGCACTCCCTTTAAGAGTGTGCTCCTAATCTCAGCTCGTTACCTGTATAAAAGACACCTGGGAGCCAGAAATCTTTCTGATTGAGAGGGGGTCAAATACTTATTTCCTTAATTAAAATGCAAATCAATTTATAACATTTTTTACATGCGTTTTTCTGGATTTTTTGTTGTTATTCTGTCTCTCACTGTTCAAATAAATCTACCATTAAAATTATAGACTGATAATTTCTTTGTCAGTGGGCAAACGTACAAAATCAGCAGGGGATCAAATACTTTTTTCCCTCACTGTATGTATTTGGTATCTGAATGTGTTTGGAGTGTGTGTGTGTGTGTGTGTGTGTGTGTGTGTGTGTGTGTGTAGTGTTCTGGTGAATAATGGGCTGGGCTGTGAGGGTCTGTCCCCGTAAATGAATCACAGTGTTTAGCCCCTCTACTCTCACCTGGCCCCTGAGTCCCCCCCCCTCCCTCTCTCTACCTTTCACTCCCTCTCTATTTTTCATCCAAGACTATCCTCTGCCCTCCATTTAATCTTTCCTTTAATCGCTGAAGCTCCTCGTCCTCTCTTTCTCCTCCGCTCCTTCCATCTTTAATAAGTCTCTCCTCTTTCTCCTCTACTTTCCAGCTATTTTCCCTCTAGCCCTCTCTTTCTTTCCCTCTCATTTTCTCCTGTCCTCTTTCTCTTTCCCTCTCTCTATCTTTATCCCCCTCCTTCTCGCTCTCCAACCCTACCCCTCTCCTCTCTCTCCCTCCATCCTCTCCCTGTTGGTTCCTCTGGTTGGAGAGGTGCCTGTGGCAGAGCAACAGACATTTACAGTGAGGGACTCTCTCTAACCAGGGGCAAAGTGACAATGAGCTCACCCCTGACCCTAAACTCCCACACCTCCCACTAACCAGCCATCCCCTTAATTGGGTTGTCAGTGGGAGGTGTGTGTAATAATGTAGTGTGTGTGTGTCTGAACGTGTGTGTGTGTGAGTGCAACATAGTGTGTGTATTTTTTTGTGTTGGGTAAGCGTTTGTGTCTGTGCGTGTGTACCTGCATGTTTCTGCATGTGTGTGCCTGTGTGTGTGTTTCCGCCTCTGTGAGTGTGTAGTGTGTGTCGCTCACAGCTCAGGGGTGGTGGGTGTGATGTTTCCCCAAATACTGATGCTTTAGCAGGCCATTAGACAAAGCTGTCGCCAGGGTCACTCAGGGGTCGTTGCCATGGCAGCAGATATGGGCTTCGCTATAAAGGGAGACCACAGGGTCTGATAGCCAATTTAGTACAGCGAGGAATTTCTCCAAAACAAATCACTTATGTTAACCTTGGAAGAAAGGGTTACAATGTACATTATACATGTGGGAAGCACACACAGACACACCAACACACTCTCTAATGAGCTTCTGTGTGGGATGTACATTATAAATAATTTGTAAAAACACACAAACACACCCATGCACACACACACACAAAACAAAAACCCACACACATCCACTCTGTCGAGCTTCTGTGCAGGGAAAACACCTTTCACCTGCCCCGCCCCCTTTGTCTACAACCAACCAATCAGAAGAAGGCGTGAGCAGCACTGGGCACACAGTGAATGATGGGAAAAGCACAGGTGAATGATGGGTAAAATAAAAGAGGAAGAAAAGGAAAATTGAAGCAGAAAAAAGCAGTTCGGAGTCAAACTGAGATACCTTCTGTGGAACAGTTCTTGCCACAAGCGGTCTGCAGTATATAGAACATCTCCCGGAAAGGCCTGGGACCTTCCAGACACGAAGCATTGAGAGAGGAGAGAAGAGGGAGGGAGAGAAGAGGAGAGAAAGGGTGAGACAGGGAGAAAGGAAAGAAGAGAGAAAGGGGGAGAGGAAGGGGAGAAGGGGAATTGGAGAGGAGGTGAGACAGAAAGTGGGAGGAGAGGGAAAGTGAGAGGGTGAGGAATGGTAATGGTAAGAGGGGAGGGAGAGGAAGAGGAAAGAGAAGGTGAGGAAAGTAAGGGAGGAAAGGAAGGGAGGAAAGGAAGGACAGGGAGATATATAGGGCAAATAGAGGAGGAATTACGAGGAGGGAGAGAGAAGGAGAGAGAGAGATGTGATCCTAGAGGAGAAAATGAGTGAGGCATTGAGCAGAGAAGAGAGGAAAAGAGGAGGAGAGGAGAGAGGCATAAAGGAGAGTAGAGTATTAGGCCAGAGAGAGCAGCCATAGAGAGAGAGAGCCTAGAGCTGGAAGCATAAGCCAGAAAGTATCTCCCACTGGAACACACACTGACCGCCACTGCTCAGTGACAACAAAAGAGAGATGGATCATGGAGCATTCTTGGAAACACGGTCCTGGCCATGTAGTCAATCCACTTGTCTCTGGGCTGAATGCTCTCAACATAAACTCACCTACCCATAGTGCAGTTTGGCTAGAGAACTATCAGCTTTAAAAATATTATATTACATTATATAAAAAATAGTTATATACAGTGCCTTGCAAAAGTATTCATCCCCCTTGGCATTTTTCCTATTTTGTTGCATTACAACCTGTAATTTAAATTGATTTTTATTTGGATTTCATGTAATGGACACACACAAAATAGTCCAAATTGGTCAAGTGAAATGAAAAAAAATGGTTTCAAAAAATTAGAAAACATAAATAACGGAAAAGTGGTGCGTGCATATGTATTCACCCCCTTTGCTATGAAGCCCCTAAATAAGATCTGGTGCAACCAATTACCTTCAGAAGTCACATAATTAGTTAAATATAGTCCACATGTGTGCAATCTAAGTGTCACATGATCTGTAACATGATCTCAGTATATATACACCTGTTCTGAAAGGCCCCAGAGTCTGCAACACCACTAAGCAAGGGGCACCACCAAGCAAGCGGCAAATGAAGACCAAGCAGCTCTCCAAACAGGTCAGGGACAAAGTTGTGGAGAATTACAGATCAGGGTTGGATTATAAAAAAATATCAGAAACTTTGAACATAATAATAATAATAATAATAATAACATCCCACGGAGCACCATTAAATCCATTATTAAAAAATTGAAAGAATATGGCACCACAACAAACCTGCCAAGAGATGGCCGCCCACCAAAACTCATGGACCAGGCAAGGAGGGCATTAATCAGAGGCAACAAAGAGACAAAAGATAACCCTGAAGGAGCTGCAAAGCTCCACAGCGGAGATTGGAGTATCTGTCCATAGGACCACTTTAAGCCGTACACTCCACAGAGCTGGGCTTTATGGAAGAGTGGCCAGAAAAAAGCCATTGCTTAAAGAAAAAAAGAAGCAAACACGTTTGGTGTTCACCAAAAGCCATTTGGGAGACTCCCCAAACATATGGAAGAAGGTACTCTGGTCAGATGAGACTAAAATTGAGCTTTTTGGCCATCAAGGAAAACGCTATGTCTGGCGCAAACCCAACACCTCTCATCACCCCGAGAACACCATCCCCACAGTAAAGCATGGTGGTGGCAGCATCATGCTGTGGGGATGTTTTTCATCATTAGGGACTGGGAAACTGGTCAGAATTGAAGGAATGATGGATGGCGCTAAATACAGGGAAATTCTTGAGGGAAACCTGTTTCAGTCTTCCAGAGATTTGAGACTGGGACGGAGGTTCACCTTCCAGCAGGACAATGACCCTAAGCATACTGCTAAAGCAACACTTGAGTGGTTTAAGGGGAAACATTTAAATGTCTTGGAATGGCCTAGTCAAAGCCCAGACCTCCATCCAATTGAGAATCTGTGGTATGACTTAAAGATTGCTGTACACCAGCGGAACCCATCCAGCTTGAAGGAGCTGGAGCAGTTTTGCCTTGAAGAATGGGCAAAATTCCCAGTGGCTAGATGTGCCAAGCTTATAGAGACATACCACAAGAGACTTTCAACGGTAATTGCTGCAAAAGGTGGCTCTACAAAGTATTGACTTTGGGGGGGGGGGAGTGAATAGTTATGCACGCTCAAGTTTTCTGTTTTTTTGTCTTATTTCTTGTTTGTTTCACAAGAAAAAATATTTTGCATCTTCAAAGTGGTAGGCATGTTGTGTAAATCAAATGATACAAACCCCCCCAAAATCCATTTTAATTCCAGGTTGTAAGGCAACAAAATAGGAAAAATGCCAATGGGGGTGAATACTTTTGCAAGCCACTGTAGATGGACCACAATCAATTCATAGAAAGTTAAACTGCATAATCATATTAATTCTAACAAAACTTAAATTCTAATAAAACTAAATGGATTTTGCAACTGATTAAATTAATTAAAATAATTAAAGCAAGATTAAAACTGACTGGCTTTGACAATAATTAATTCACAAAACGATATGGATTTGACAAATGTCGCTGCATGTTGGCAGAAAAATGCAGATACGTAAACTGGATATTACATAATCTTTTTGAGCCTTTTATGTGGATAAAATTGGACTTCAAAAGATCAAAAGGTTTAAAATTGAGAAAATACTTGTAAGTGTGGCATGTCCCTGGCATTTAACAACTCTTAAAGGGACATTCCACTGATCTTACACAAAATTCTTTACCATGAGAATTAGACAGTAAATTGTGTCTGAAATCAGCATGTCAAAGACATATTTCTTAGCAGCTGTAGTTGGTATAATGAGCTCAATCATTATGGTAAAAAAACAGCATAAATATTTAAGCACTTTAAAGGGGTGCTTCATTTCAAAATGTAAGTTTGTCAATGTTGTCAATCTTCCAAAGAGAGTGAATTAACCCCTTTAAGCGCATGGCATTTCTCTCCATTAGAGTACAGACCTTTACAGCCGGTGGTGTGTGCTAAAATCGGCATGGTGACCGTGGGATGGCAGAGGAGAGAGAGAGAGACACACTGGCAACAGACCATGCAGTGAGGTCACAGTACCTGAGCTGGGCCTCACGCACAAACACACACATCAAACCAAACCAAAACGTCAGCCCAAACACCATGCACCAATAATGGTACATACCCTACCTGACTGACAGTCACCTCAGCCAATCAGATACATCCCTCCCCCAAACAAACCGCCCATCAGCCCCCGCCTCTGGGTGGAGCCATACCTGTGATGTCAAACCAGAGGGGGTTGGAGCTCTGTTGCATGGAGACCACACCCACTATCTCGGCCACCTTGTCACTCTCCATGATGGTGAAGTTGTAGTACTGCTCGTCGAACAGCAGGGGGGCCACTGAGGCCGAGGGCTTACGGATCCACTCGATGTGCAGGCGGGCCGTCGACGACTTCTGGGGGCGGCCATTATCTGTGGCTTTGATCTGGGGATGGGGAGGACAGAAGGGAAGGAGGAGGGAAAGAGGAAAAGGGTTGGAGAAAGAGAGCGTTAGAGAGAGAAAGAGAGAACAAGGATCAGAGAAATGGAGGGGAGGTGATGGAGAGAGAGAAACATGTAATTTTCATATGAATTATCATTTGTCACAGAAAGGATGAGAGTGGCAAGAAATATCTAGAAGAATGGCAAGAGGATTATAGAGAGAGTGATATACTGTACTGTTGAAGAAAACATCATGAAATATGACTGAGGAAATACACTGAGAGTTCTTAGTTCATATAGCCTACTTCACAAAAAGACGCGTTAATATTGAAATGAGGAACATTTGAGCTTTTTTGTATTTGTCTAAGTGAAAGAGAAGAGAGAGACGGGGGTAGAACAAGACAAAGATAATGGCAGTTGGTTAGAAAGAGACACACAGATTCAAAGTAAAGTTCAAAGGTCACATACAGTGAGGATGTCGTAGCTCCCGGCGGTGAACTGCTTCCGTGACGACACCACCGCCGTCTTGGGGTCGATGAAGAACTTGCCGTCCTCGTTGCCGTCGATGATGCTGTAGGAGAGGTCAGCGTTAACCCCTTCATCCCTGTCGTAGGCAAAGGCCCTGTAGATAGGCTCTCCTCTCTTCCTCCTGTCCCTCTCTGGTAGCTTGATCTGGTACACCTTCTCTGGGAACGTGGGCTTGTTGTCATTCTCATCCAGCACGTGGACGATCACCCACACCGTGGAGTGTTTGGGGCTGGGACCGCCGTCTGACACCGTGACCTGGGTATCCACACACACGCAACCGCAGACAGACAGACAGACACACAACCATGCAGGCACGCACAGATATACAGGCAGGCAGACAGACACACACACACACACAGAGACAGGGACAAACATAGGCACACACACACACACACACACACACAGACATACATATGCAGTCACAGGCGAACAGACAAAAAAAACACGTATGCACACACACACACACACAAGCATGTACACACGTGTAAACACACACACAACAGAGAAGAAGAAAAAAAAGACATTTAAGATTCACATCAGTCTCTTTCCCCTGTCTAAACTAAGAACACATTTGTCTGACAACTGGAACACATTGTCATATTTCCAAAGTGGAGATCGCTTTGCCTTTTATCTTCTTTCCTGTGTTCTGACAGCTAATTCATCTGTCTCTGCTCCTGCTTCCACCATGACGGAGAGCCTCTTGTAGATTAATGCAAAAGGGGGAGGGGCCAGAGGATGAGTTAGCCAATGAGAGATGAAATCAACCCTGTCCCGTCCATAAAATACATTTATATTCATTTTCGGGGGGAGATAAAGGATGTCGCTAGCTGCCATCAATTCAACACAAAGCTACAATTAATTTCCCAAAGCGCTTATTGTTGGCTTCCTTTAAAAAGTCCATCTGTCATTTTAGAAATGACACAGCGAGGAGGTGCCGTCGATATACGGAGAGAAATGTTAATGAGAGAGAGAGAGAGAGAGAGAGAGATAGAGATGGTGGAGGGGTAGTAGTGGGAGAAGGAGAGCGGGAGATAGGGAGAGGGGGAGGGAGATAGGGAGAGGGGGGAAGGAGGGAGGTAGGAAGAGAGGGAGGGAGTGAGAGAGGGGTGGTGGAGGGGTGTAGTAGGAGAGAGGGGGAGGGAGATTAGGGGCGAGGGGGAGGGGAGATAGGGAGAGGGGGGAAGGAGGGCGGTAGGGGTAGGGAGAGAGAGAGGAGTGAGAGGGGTGGTGGAGGGGTAGTAGTGGGAGACGGGGAAGGAGGGCGGTAGGGAGAGAGAGAGGGAGGACGTGGAGAGGGGGTGGTGGAGGGGTAGTAGTGTGAGAGGGGGATAGGAGGGCGGTAGGGAGAGAGAGAGGGAGGGAGTGAGAGGAAGGGGAGGTAGAGGCGGTAGTCGTGGGAGAGGGGGGAAGGAGGGCGTTTAGGGAGAGAGAGAGGGAGGGAGTGAGAGAGGGGAGGTGGAGGGGTAGTAGTGGGAGGGAGGGAGATATGGAGAGGGGGAAGGAGGTAGGGAGAGAGGGAGGGAGGTAGGGAGAGAGGGAGGTTGCTGAGAAAGACAACAGGGGTGTGTGAAAGGAACCTAAATGACAGCATAAGGGAAGAAGAGAGGAGGAAGGAGAAATGAATGACTTTGGGAACATCCCTCCAAGCCTGTGGCAATTGACCCCCTCAGTGAGTGAATGTAATCTGCTCTGTACAGCACAGTGAGAGAGAGGTAGAGCCATAGAGGGAATAGGGTGAACAAGCAAGTGGCGGCCAACACCTCACAAGACAACAATGTTCACTAAAGGTCGACATTAACAGCTCTCCATGAGAGAGAGAGAGAGAGAGAGAGAGGATCGAGAGAGAGGACGAGGAGATGGAAGAGCGAGAGAGAGAGAGAGGAGATAGCAGAAGAGAGACGAGAGAGAGACGGATGAGAGAGAGAGAGAGAGAGAGAGAGAGAGAGAGAGAGAGAGAGAGAGAGAGAAGAGACTGATTATACACATGCATTATTACAGGAGACCCTACATCAGTGTATTATACATATGTTAACATGAAACAGGCCATTTAAGTGGTTGGGATAAGACTGAGACTTTCCTACTGGAAACACACTACCCTACTGGAGAAGCGATTGAGAGCAGCGTTGCATAAGGACTCTGATTGGGCACATTAGTAGGTTTGAGTAGAGAGTAGCACGGGTGGGTGGGGAATAGAGAATGCCAGCTGTTGGAAACACCAAAGGCAGACGATGCTTGTCTGTGTGCCACTGAGTACAGTTACATGCACACAATAATGCGATTATTGTGGATCATCAGATTCATATATTAGTTTGATTAAAACATTTACATGCTTTGCAAGAAGAACGATTTACCTAATAATCCTGTTTACATCTGAAATCAGGCTACCTGATGGCACTCTGATAATTCGCCAATCAAAATAAACATTCTACCACAGTGACCATGTTATTTTTGGTAAGCATATTTGATTCTGAGTTCGGACATATAATGTTTGCATGTGAAAACGACTTCTAAGACACATGCATTCAGTTGTCCAGAACTCACATTTACATTTTAGTCATTTAGCAGACACTCTTATCCAGAGCGACTTACAGTAGTGAGTGCATACATTTTCATTCATACTGGTCCCCCGTGGGAATCGAACCCACAACCCTGGCGTTGCAAGTGCCATGCTCTACCAACTGAGCCACACGGGATTTCACACGCACTAGAGGGAGGCTCGCTGGGCTGGTGCTAGCACATGTGCAGATCAAATACACAGCTGGAACGCCCATTAAGGTGTTTACATGTCCTAATAATTCGAAAGATTGCTTAGAAAACCAGGTGTTTTAAATCGCTGTATTTTGACCTTACGCCGATTAAGATAAGCAGAGTAAGGCGTTAACATGACTATTGCATAATCTGCCTACTGCTGTAATCAGTTTAATATCGAATTCTTACTGTCCATGTAAACATACTCACTGACAGTACTGACAGAAAGGCCTCATCTAGAACCACAAAGCAACAACAACACAACATGTTTTGGACAAAACAGCGAGAGTTGGAATCTAGCGTGGAAAAGTGCTTTTCTCACTGAAGCTCAAGTTATAGTGCACCTTTTCTGAGTGATGGTTTGACAGGCTCCACTCCTTTGTTTTCTCACTCTCTTGCTTTTCACTCTCTCTCTGACAGGAATGAAAGTTGGTGAAAAGTCACCCTGAGACATGGAAAACCAGAGAAACTTTCACAGACAAGTGTGGGGATGTTGTTACAAACAAACACAGACTCAGAATACGAAAGAAGGTTCCCCACATATTACCCTACTGGGAAAAACACTACCCTACTGGAAACTCACTACCCTACTGGAAACACACCCCAGAAAAAAACCTACCCAGGGAAAACACACTAAAAAACCCACCCCACTGGAAAAACCCCTACCCTATGAAACACCCCCCTACTGAAACCCCCTACCCTACAAACAAAACCCCCAAAAAAAAAACAACCCCCAAAATATACCCCTACTGGGAAAAACCCTACCCCATGAAAAAAACACTTACCCCACTGGGAAAAACCACTACCCTACTGGAAACCACCTAAACCCACTGGGCTCCTACCTACGGAAAACCACCCCCTAAAAAAACTCCCGGAAAAAACCCCTACCCTACTGAAACACACCCCTTAAACTTTGGGGGAAAAACACACCCCACTGGAAAACCCCTACCCCACTGAAAAACCCCAGCCCCACCTACTGAAACACTACCCTACTGGAAACACACTACCTACTGAACAACTACCCCATGAAAAACATATCCTACGAAACACACACCTACTGGAAAAACCTACCCCATGAAAACCCCTCCCTACTGGGAAACCCAAATACCCGGAAAAAACATACCCTACTGGAAACACCTACCACTGACCATACCCATGGAAACACATATCCTCTGGAAACAAACCCACCCCACTGGAAACCCCCCACGGAACCCCCTACCCTATGCAACACACTACCCTACTGGAAACACACTACCCTACTGGAAACACACTACCTAGGAAAAACCTACCCCACTGGGAAACCACCCACTGGAAACACACACCCTACTGGAAACACTACCCTACTGACACACTACCCTACTGGAAACACACTACCCCACTGACAACCCCACTGGAAAAACAACCCTACTGGAAACCCAAAATACCCCTTTTGGAAAAAACAAACACACTCCCTACTGGAAACACACATCCTACTGGAAAACAAAATACCCACTGGAAACCCCTACCCTATGAACCACTACCCCGGAACACCATCCCCACTGACCCACTACCTACTGGAAAAAAACCTACCCCACTGAAAAACTACCCACTGGAAAACCCCCACCCCACTGGAAACCCCCTCCCCCTAAAAATACCCCTGGAAACACACTCCCTATGGAAAACATACCCTACTGGAACCACACTACCCCCACTGGGAAAAACACTCCATGAAAAACACTACCCCCCCTCCCCACCCCCAAAACACTATCCTAAAAATCCACTGGAAAACACTCCCTACGAAAAACCAAACACTACCCCACTGGAAAAACTACCCACTGGAAAACATACCCCACTGGGGAAACACACCCTATGGAAACCCCTACCCTATTACCCCCACCCCACTGAAACCCTATCCTCTGGAAAAACCTACCCTCCCAACAAAAAAACCCTACTGGAAACTCACTACCCTACTGGAAACACACTATCCTACTGGAAACCACACCCTACTGAAAACCTACCCCCTAAACCCCCCCTCTGGAAAAACACTACCTACTGGAAAAACACTACCCACTGGCACATACCCTACTGGAAACATATCCTACGGAAAAACACCCACTGAACACTACCCTACGACACACTACCCCCACTGACACACTACCCCTACGCCCCCTACCCCACTGGAAACCACTACCACTGGAAACCACACTACCCCATGGAAAACACTCCCCACTGACACACTACCTACTGGAAACACCTCCCTACGGAAACACCTACCACTGGAACACACTCCCTACTGGAAAAAACTACCCTACTGGGGGAAAAACACTACCTACTGGAAAAACCCTCCCACGGAAAAAAATCCCCCCATGGAAAAAACTACCCCACTGAAAAACACTACTACTGGAAAAACCCAACTACTAAATACCTACTGGAAACACACTACCCTACTGGAAACACACTACTATGGAAAACCAAACCCCCCGACACCCTATCCATGGAAAAACCCCTACCCCCTGGAAACAACTCCCCCACGAAAACACTACCTAGGAAACACACTACCCTACTGGAAACACACTACCCTACTGACACACCTACCCTATGGGAAAAAACAAATCCCCATGGAAACCAAATACCCTACGGAAAACACTACCTACGGAAACCCAAACCCCCCGAAAAACCACCTACGGAAAAACACTACCCTACTGGGAAAAACACATCCCACTGGAACCCCACACCATGAAAAACCCCATCCTACTGGAAAACAACTCCCACGGAAAAAACACTACCCTCTGAAAAACCACCCCAGGAAACACACACCCTACTAAAAAACTACCCCCTGGAACCACACCCCCATGGAAAACACACCCCCCCACTGGGAAAAACCCTACCCTACGGGAAACACCTATCCCCTACCCCGAAACACCCCCCTACCCTACGGGGAAAACATACCCTACTGGAAAAAACCCCCTACCCTACTGGAAACCACATCCTACTGGAAAAACCCACCCTCTGGAAAACACACACCCCACTGGAAACACACTACCCTACTGGAAAACCATCCCACTAAACCACCCCCTAACCCACTACCCTACTGGAAACCCCTACCCCAGAAACACTACCCCACGAAAAACACTACCCTATGGGAAACCCCACCCCGGACACATACCCCCCTGGAACCATACCCCACGGAAAAACCCCCTACTGACACACTACCCACCCCCACCTACCCTCGGAAACACACACCCCCTTTCTGGAAAAACACACCCCAACCCCCCACTGGGAAAAACACTACCTACTGGAAAACACTACCCCACTGGAAACAAAACTACCCCATGGAAACACCTACCCTACGGGGGAAAACCACTACCCTTGCACACACCCTATGAAACCCCCCCTAAAAAACCCCCCACGAAACATACCTATGAAAACATCCCTAAGGGAAAAACACACCCTACGGAAACCCCCCAAACCCCCTGGAAAACCCCTACCCTACTGGAAACCATCCCTAGGAAACACTCCCCCACTGGAAAAAAACTACCCCCCGGAACAACTACCCTCTGGAAACCATACCCACTGGAAAACACTACCCCATGACACACACCCTATGGAAAACCCTACCTACTGGAAACACTCCCTCTGGAAACCACTACCCCACGGAAAAAAAACTACCCTACTGGAAAAACACTCCCCGTCACACCCCATGCCACTACCCACTGGAAACCACACCCACTGGAAAAACCTCCCTACTGGAAAAACACTACCCCATGGAAACACCAAACCCTTGGGAAAACACTCCCACGGAACCACTCCCAGGAAAACCATACCCCAGAACAACCCAATGGAAAAAAAACTCCCTACTGGAACCCTACCCTATGGAAAAACCTCCCTACACCCTAACGAAACCCCTACCCCATGGGGAAAAAAACTATTTCTGAACACACTATCCTACTAACACACTACCCTACTGGAAACTCACTACCCTACTGGAAAAAACATTCTTGGGAAAAACACACCCTACGAACCACCCTTCTGGAAAAACACCCTACTGGAAAAACTCAACCCCCTACTGGGAAAAAAAACACACTACCCTACTGGAAACACACCCCAAAAAACCCTCCTTTGGAAACACACACCCTCTGAAAAACTACCCCACTGAAAAACGGCATACCCTACTGGAAACACAAACTTAAAACACTACCCACTGACCCTACCCTACTGACCACCCCATGGAAAACTCCCTAAAACCCTTTCGGGGAAAAACCCCCTACGCACATACCCTATGGAAACTCACTACCCTCTGGAACCCCACTACCCCACTGGAAAACACACCCCATCCTCCCAGGGAAAAACATACCACGGGGAAAATCACCCCTACTGGAAACACACTACCCTACTGGAAAAAACACTACCCTATGAAAAACACACCCCCTGAAAAACCTACCCCACTGGAAAACACACCCACTGGAAAACACAAACCCCACTGGAAAAAACACCCCTATGACACAACCCCCACGAAAAACCCCTACCCTACGGAAAACACTACCCCCCGGAAAACACTCCCCCGAACACTACCCTACTGGAAAAACACTCCCCTACTGGAAACACTCCCCCCTACTGGAACACCTACCCACTGGAAAAACCACCCTATGGAAAAACACTAAACCCCACTGCCACTACCCCACTGGAAAAAACTACCCTATGAAACATTCAAAAACCCTACCCTATGAAAAACACTACCCCCACTGAAAACCCCTACCTACTACACACTCCCTACTGGAAACACCTACCCTATGGAAACACATACCTACTGGCACACTACCCTATGGAAAAAACACTACCCTAGACCATCCCCCTGAAAACACTACCCCTGAAACCCTACCCCTATGGAAAAACAACCCCACTGGGAAAAACACTACCCTATGACACATCCCTACTGGAACCACTACCCTACTGACACCAACCCCCACGGGAAAAACCCCTACCCTATACACCTACCCCAGGAAAAACCAATACCCCCCTGGAAAAAACATACCCTATGAACCTACCCTACTGAAACCCTAACCCCACTGCCATCCCCACTGGAAAACCCCCTTTCCCACTGGGAAAAAACCCCCCCTATGGAAACACACTACCCTACTGGAAATACACTACCCTACTGGAAACCCCCTACCCTACGCACATACCCTCTGAAAAACCTACCCCACTGGGAAAAACACACCCCACTGGAAACCCCAAACCCCACACCACACCCTATGGAAACACCCTACCCTATGGAAACAACCACCCCTCCCCCCCCCTCAACACCCACTAACCTCCCCCACAAACCCCCAAACACACCACAAACACACCACAACACATCCCCCTGAATCTCACGGCCCCCCAAAAACCCCACTTTTTCTCACATTCCAATAACAATTTCCCTTCCCCACCATGGAAAAATTTGACCCCCTTCTGCCCTTTTTTGGAAAATTTTTTTTTGAAAAATCCCTTCTGGGAAACACCTTCTAAATGGGGGAAAAACCCCAAAATAAACATTTTAACCCTTGAACAAAATACCCTTTTTTTGGCAAATTTTCCCTTCGGGCTTTTTTTTAACAAACAAAATGTTTTGGGTTTTTAAAAAATTTTTTTTTGAATTTCCCTTTCGAAAATGTTTAAAACAAAACCCCTTCCTTAAACCTACTCCCCCCTTTTCCCTTTTTTTTTCTTAACAAACCCAAAAATTACTAACACACACAACAAAAAACCCCAAAAAAATTTTTTTCCAAAAATGCAGGGAAAACTTTTCCATTTGGGGAAGTTTTTTTTTAAAAATTTGAAAGAATTGGGTTTTCTTTTTAACATGGTTAAAGGGTTTTGACCCTGTTTGGGGTTTGGTGGTTGTGGTTTCATTTCAAAGAGACAAGTAACCATGTTTTTTTGCAAAACACTATGTGTCCACCTCACTCTCAGAGAAATAAGTAGTACTACTAGGTTTTACAGTCAAATGTAACAAATAACTTCATTTTTAATAAAGAACTGTACAAATGATACATTTGTGACATCAATATGTTTTACATATATGAATTAATACAGTAATATGAGATCTGTATGTAAAACATTTACATTTTTGTTATTTAGCTCAGGGGTTACCAAACTTTTTCACTCAGGCTCCCCTTCTAGCATTGGGGAACATCCCGTGCCCCCCCTGTGTGCGCGCACTTCACGTCTATTTCTATGGGTACAAGCACTGTTCATGACACAAACTGATCACACCCCTATTGTTGGTGGAGAGAACATTTTGCAGGTTTAAAGCTTATTTCCTTCAATTCTACACATTTAGTCATGGGGTGCAGAAAAAATTTAGCAGTTTTAAAGAAAATTTCCTTGCAATTCTATACATTTAGCCATGTCTAATGTGTATTCATGGGATATTTGAGTGACTCAAATATTACAACAAAATCTATGGGCTAAGAAACCTAGGTAAAAATGTTTAGCTGACATGGGCTAGTTGATCTGGACATTTCTGACAAGTTGTAAATAGCTCTCTAAGGTATGCAATGACCGACATGACAAGAGGAACACTGATGATGCACTACCCAATTTCGAAATGGCACCTTGTGCATTCTACTATTACAACTTACAAGCGTAAGTTGAAAGCCGGACTGAGTAAAAAAAAAAGAAAAAAGCCCCACAGTTTGGGAACCACTGATTTAGCAGATGCTCTTATCCAGAGCGACTTACAGTGAGTGCATTCATCTTAACATACCTAGGTGAGACGACTACATATCACAGTCAAATAAACAGTATACTAACATTCCATTCCAGCTAAACAATGGAAAATAGGATATACAGTGGGGGAAAAAAGTATTTAGTCAGCCACCAATTGTGCAAGTTCTCCCACTTAAAAAGATGAGAGAGGCCTGTAATTTTCATCATAGGTACACGTCAACTATGACAGACAAAATGAGAATTTTTTTTCTCCAAAAAATCACATTTTAGGACTTATAATGAATTTATTTGCAAATTATGGTGGAAAATAAGTATTTGGTCACCTACAAACAAGCAAGATTTCTGGCTCTCACAGACCTGTAACTTCTTCTTTAAGAGGCTCCTCTGTCCTCCACTCGTTACCTGTATTAATGGCACCTGTTTGAACTTGTTATCAGTATAAAAGACACCTGTCCACAACCTCAAACAGTCACACTCCAAACTCCACTATGGCCAAGACCAAAGAGCTGTCAAAGGACACCAGAAACAAAATTGCAGACCTGCACCAGGCTGGGAAGACTGAATCTGCAATAGGTAAGCAGCTTGGTTTGAAGAAATCAACTGTGGGAGCAATTATTAGGAAATGGAAGACATACAAGACCACTGATAATCTCCCTCATTCTGGGGCTCCACGCAAGATCTCACCCCGTCGGGTCAAAATGATCACAAGAACGGTGAGCAAAAATCCCAGAACCACACGGGGGGACCTAGTGAATGACCTGCAGAGAGCTGGGACCAAAGTAACAAAGCCTACCATCAGTAACACACTACGCCGCCAGGGACTCAAATCATGCAGTGCCAGACGTGTCCCCCTGCTTAAGCCAGTACATGTCCAGGCCCGTCTGAAGTTTGCTAGAGTGCATTTGGATGATCCAGAAGAGGATTGGGAGAATGTCATATGGTCAGATGAAACCAAAATAGAACTTTTTGGTAAAAACTCAACTTGTCGTGTTTGGAGGACAAAGAATGCTGAGTTGAATCCAAAGAACACCATACCTACTGTGAAGCATGGGGGTGGAAACATCATGCTTTGGGGCTGTTTTTCCGCAAAGGGACCAGGACGACTGATCCGTGTAAAGGAAAGAATGAATGGGGCCATGTATCGTGAGATTTTGAGTGAAAACCTCCTTCCATCAGCAAGGGCATTGAAGATGAAACGTGGCTGGGTCTTTCAGCATGGCAATGATCCCAAACACACCGCCCGGGCAACGAAGGAGTGGCTTCGTAAGAAGCATTTCAAGGTCCTGGAGTGGCCTAGCCAGTCTCCAGATCTCAACACCATAGAAAATCTTTGGAGGGAGTTGAAAGTCCGTGTTGCCCAGCGACAGCCCCAAAACATCACTGCTCTAGAGGAGATCTGCATGGAGGAATGGGCCAAAATTCCAGCAACAGTGTGTGAAAACCTTGTGAAGACTTACAGAAAACGTTTGACCTGTGTCATTGCCAACAAAGGGTATATAACAAAGTATTGAGAAACTTTTGTTATTGACCAAATACTTATTTTCCACCATAATTTGCAAATAAATTCATTAAAAATCCTACAATGTGATTTTCTGGATTTTTTTTTCTCATTTTGTCTGTCATAGTTGACGTGTACCTATGATGAATATTACAGGCCTCTCTCATCTTTTTAAGTGGGAGAACTTGCACAATTGGTGGCTGACTAAATACTTTTTTCCCCCACTGTACCTTCCCAAAGAGTCATGGACCTCCGACCGAGAGGCAAAAAGGATGACCAAAACTCAATCCCAAGATAATGATAACCCCACAGCTAGCAAGATAAGCATTAGCCTGGTAACTCAGACGACAGTTCCAGACTGTTGCACTCAGCAGCCTCTTCCTAGTCCTCCGGCATGCTTGCTACTCTCCTCCAGGAAATTCAAGATGGTAACAAACGTCTTTCACTGAAAATTGACAAGATTTCGGCTGAGCTCCTTTCTTCCATTGACAACCTGAAATCCTCCCTGAATGATCTCCTTTTGAGAACGATTGAGGCTGAGTTGCGCATTAGCACAGTTGAAGATACCATCACTCGACATGAACAGGTAATGAAACAGCTGCAGAAGGACAATGCCTATCTCAAAAACATGGTAGACAAGTTGGAGAACCAGAGCAGACGTAGCAATATCCGTGTGGTGGGATTGAAGGAGGACAGCGAGGGCTGTGACCCCGTCAGTTTCTTCACTCAATGGATCCCTGAAGTCCTAGGCATAACCAACTTCACCAAGCCGCTGGAAATCGAACGCGCCCACAGAACCTCAACACCGAAACCAACGCCAGATGAGCCCACACGGGCCGTCCTGATCAGGTTCCTCCGTTTCCAGGACAGGGAGAAGATACTGCGACTTGCAAGAGGCCAAAGGGGACATCACCATCGATGGCAAAAGGGTCAGCCTTTTCCCGGATATGAGCACGGATCTCGCCAGACGTCGCAAGCAGTTCAAACCAGCCGCCAAAGCCCTGAAGGAGAAGAACATCACCGGCTACCTCATTCACCCTGCACGGATGAAAGTTCATTACAATGGCCGAAGCCATCTCTTCGACACACCGGGAGAAGTGTTCGCTTTTCTCAAATAACTTTCTCAAAGGTCTATCCATGGGATTCAGTTTATTGGGTTTTTCTTGTTTCTGCTGTCCTGGGACTGAACTGCTGATGTCTACTTGCTGATCGCTACTGTTGATTTGGACATGTTCAACTAACAGCTTTTTTCCCCGTGGTGAATTCTAATACATTTACAGGAGATTATATCTTGGTTTTGTCAATATCCACTGGGTGAAGCAAATTAGTAGGCTTAGGCACATTGCTTTTTCCCCATTTATGTTTCTCCTCTTCTCCTGAAAAGAGACTCAATCAGCCCTTATTGTTGACAGTAAATATTCAGCCATAAATCTCTATTCACAACGTTTGTTTTCAATATAGAGAGCTCGTAGGTTTTAGTTTATGCCAAGGTTTAGCTAGAAAGAGCAATATGGAAAGCGAGCAACAACGTATCTCTACAAGTGTTTTCATGTTTGATTGTTGGGATTATGGTTTTAGTCCGACAATCAAGGTGGGTGTTTTTTAAATATATTTTTTATGTTTAATGTCGTTTCCTTCCTAAAGAGACACATAGGTCACTTCAGTGTTCAAAATGAAGTTGAAACATTACCTGACATATTTACATATGAGGGATTACCATTCGGTTATATATTTGAAACCCAACCCATGCTTAATCCACTAAAATATCTCACATTCAACGTAAAAGGTCTTAACAGACCGGTCAAGAGGAAAATAGTCTATACATACCTTAGGAAACACATCTTACAGCCAGTGAACACAATAAATTAAAGAGGGAATGGGTAGGACAAGTTTTTGTGTCATCTTTTAACTCCTAAGTAGACACATCATCCCCTTCTGTGTCAGCAACAACATGTCTGATCCCTCAGGCAGGTTTGTTTTGGTGCAGGGGCATATGTATTCGGAGTCTTGGACCCTATTGAATATTTATGCTCCTAACTTCGCTGACCATATGTTTATTCAGAATGTCTTCCTTCAGGTTGCTTAAGCAACACGAGGTTGGCTACTGGCTGGAGGATATTTAAATGTTTGTTTAGATACAGTTCTTGATAGGTCCTCTGATAAACCCTCCCCTCTTACCAAAGCCTCCAAGCTCACCATGTCATTCGTGAAGGATCTCAATTTACTAGAGATCTTGAGACAGATGCACCCACAGGATAGGGACTACTCTTTTTATTCCCACCCACACAACACATACACGCGTTAGATACCGATTATCTCCCAAGATTGCTTAGTGACCATTCTCCTCTGGTATTATCAATCTCCATTCCTACCAAGGTACAGTGGGGGAAAAAAGTATTTAGTCAGCCACCAATTGTGCAAGTTCTCCCACTTAAAAATATGAGAGAGGCCTGTAATTTTCATCATAGGTACACGTCAACTATGACAGACAAAATGAGAAAAGAAAATCCAGAAAATCACATTGTAGGATTTTTTATGAATTTATTTGCAAATTATGGTAGAAAATAAGTATTTGGTCAATAACAAAAGTTTCTCAATACTTTGTTATATACCCTTTGTTGGCAATGACACAGGTCAAACGTTTTCTGTAAGTCTTCACAAGGTTTTCACACACTGTTGCTGGTATTTTGGCCTCATTCCTCCATGCAGATCTCCTCTAGAGCAGTGATGTTTTGGGGCTGTCGCTGGGCAACACGGACTTTCAACTCCCTCCAAAGATTTTCTATGGGGTTGAGATCTGGAGACTGGCTAGGCCACTCCAGGACCTTGAAATGCTTCTTACGAAGCCACTCCTTCATTGCCCGGGCGGTGTGTTAGGGATCATTGTCATGCTGAAAGACCCAGCCACGTTTCATCTTCAATGCCCTTGCTGATGGAAGGAGGTTTTCACTCAAAATCTCACGATACATGGCCCCATTCATTCTTTCCTTTACACGGATCAGTCGTCCTGGTCCCTTTGCAGAAAAACAGCCCCAAAGCATAATGTTTCCACCCCCATGCTTCACAGTATGTATGGTGTTCTTTGGATGCAACTCAGCATTCTTTGTCCTCCAAACACGACGAGTTGAGTTTTTACCAAAAAGTTCTATTTTGGTTTCATCTGACCATATGACATTCTCCCAATCCTCTTCTGGATCATCCAAATGCACTCTAGCAAACTTCAGACGGGCCTGGACATGTACTGGCTTAAGCAGGGGGACACGTCTGGCACTGCAGGATTTGAGTCCCTGGCGGCGTAGTGTGTTACTGATGGTAGGCTTTGTTACTTTGGTCCCAGCTCTCTGCAGGTCATTCACTAGGTCCCCCCGTGTGGTTCTGGGATTTTTGCTCACCGTTCTTGTGATCATTTTGACCCCACGGGGTGAGATCTTGCGTGGAGCCCCAGATCGAGGGAGATTATCAGTGGTCTTGTATGTCTTCCATTTCCTAATAATTGCTCCCACAGTTGATTTCTTCAAATCAAGCTGCTTACCGATTGCAGATTCAGTCTTCCCAGCCTGGTGCAGGTCTACAATTTTGTTTCTGGTGTCCTTTGACAGCTCTTTGGTCTTGGCCATAGTGGAGTTTGGAGTGTGACTGTTTGAGGTTGTGGACAGGTGTCTTTTATACTGATAACAAGTTCAAACATGTGCCATTAATACAGGTAACGAGTTGAGGACAGAGGAGCCACTTAAAGAAGAAGTTACAGGTCTGTGAGAGCCAGAAATCTTGCTTGTTTGTAGGTGACCAAATACTTATTTTCCACCATAATTTGCAAATAAATTCATTACAAATCCTACAATGTGATTTTCTGGATTTTTTTTCCTCAATTTGTCTGTCATAGTTGACGTGTACCTATGATGAAAATTACAGGCCTCTCTCATATTTTTAAGTGGGAGAACTTGCACAATTGGTGGCTGACTAAATACTTTTTTCCCCCACTGTAAATGGAGCATATGGATGGAGACTAAACTCTACACTCCTGAAGCAACCTGAATTTTGTGCATTCATCAAAGAGCAGATCAATATTTTTACTTTGACAAACAAACTCTCTGCTCCTGACAGTTTCATTCTTTGGGACGCATTGAAAGCCTATCTGAGGGGACAGATTGCCTATACTGTACTAATGGGTTGAAGAGCAAACACGGTGCCGAACTGAATGTCCTTGATCTGAAATCTCTGAGCAAGAGAAAACCTACCAAAGAGGCCTGATTAAAGGCCTATACAGGCTTTTGGTAAATAAGAAACTGAAATATAATACTCTGAACACGTATCAAGCTGAGAGGGCCACCACTAAATCAAAACAGCGTTACTACGAACTTGGAGAGAAAGCACACAAAGTATTGGCATTGGCAACTGACAGCAGAGGAAAGTAAGAGGACAATTAATGCTATAGAAACTCTTACTAATGAGATATATTTTGACCCTACTGAAATTAATGATACTTTTAAGAAATATTACGAGGACCTCTATACTTCTCAATCAAGCGATGACCTGTCAGAGGTCAACTCTTTTCTCTCCTGTCTCATCCTCCCATGACTGTCAGAGGAAGACAGAGCGCACCTGAGTGAACAGTTCTCAGTCCCTGAACTGTTGGAGGCCATTAAATCTTTACCTTCAAATAAATCTCCTGGGGAGGATGGCTTCCCTTCAGAGTTCTATAAATACTTGAAGGAGCTGTTGGTACCCTACCTTATGGAGGTACTTAAAAAAGCCGGGGAGGACAACTGCTTTCCAGAGTTTCTCTCAAGCTGTGATTACAGTAATTCACAAGAAAGGGAAAAACCCGCTAAAGTGCGCCTCCTATAGACCAATCTCTCTCCTTAATACAGATTGTAAACTGGTCACCAAGACGCTATATAAGAGACTGGAGTCATGTCTACCCCTGTTGGTCAACCCAGATCAGACTGGCTTCATAATTAATAGATTGTCCTCCAATAATCTCAGAAGGTTCTTTGATATAATTCACCTTGCTAACAAAAACAAAATACCTAGTGTTGCAGTCTCCCTCGACACCGAAAAGGCCTTTGATAGGGTCGAATGGCCATATATCTTTCGCGTCTTGGAAAAGTTCGGTTTAGGCATCTTGTTTGTAAATTTGATCAAATCACTCTACAAATCTCCTAAAACTAGGATTGCTACCAATGGTATTACTTCCTCCTCTTTCCCTCTCTATAGGGGGAACAGACAAGGTTGCCCTATTAGCCCCCACCTCTTCGCCCTCGCGAGGCCTATTCTAACCACCTCTCGCCGGCTTTGTATTCATGTTACCTGATGAAATTGCTGTACAATATGATCTTGTTGCCATCTAATGGACATTCAAATGTCATAAATCAACACTGCAGAGCTCTCCCTGTCCTCTGCCGTGCCCTGATTGTATTACTGCTGATGATATCTGGAAATGTGCATGTACACCCTGGCCCATCTACTGTTGTTAGCTCCAATTCTGACTTCTGCTCTGATATCTGCTTCACTGATTTCTGCTCTCGTAAAAGCCTGGGTTTTCTGCACGTTAACACTAGGAGCTTATTACCTAAAATTAATCAATTGAAAGTGTGGGTTCACAGCTCCAATCCAGATGTGATGGTCATTACTGAGACGTGGTTAAGAAAAAGTGTTTTGAACACTGATGTTAACCTTTCTCATTATACCCTGATGAAGACAGCTTGTCTGTCGAAACGTTGGTTATTAGGATATTAAATTATGTGTGCGGCTTTCTTTTTCAAGTGTTTTATTCCGTTAGCCAGCACCTCGCTTAAATAGGTGTGCGTTTCTTTCGCATCTATATTAAACCTTTCTGGTTATAACCTTTTTCGGCAAGACAGATCTTCCACAGGTGGTGGAGTGGCAATCTTTACCAAGGAACACTTTCAGTGCTCGGTTGTCTCCACCAAGTCTGTCCCGAAACAATTTGATTTGCTGGTTTTAAGCATTAAACTTTCAAATAGCTCTTTGTTGACTG